TATTTGGAAAAACGAACGTTACGGGGCAGATATTCAAATTCATTAGTCATCGATGCAGGCTCTCAATTCAGCTTGAGAGCCTGTTCGCAGGCTAGACTGGGCATTAAACACGATTGGACTGATGTGATGAGATGGGACTAAGGAATTTTAGAGTCGATCGTAGTGTTTGTGTATCTTACTACAGGGCTCGAAATAACGGCCGAACAACGATCAATGATCGGCAGGAAATTGTTCTTGATCGGCGAAGAAGCAAGGTTGCCGTTCATCTTGATCGGCAGAAATAGATTTGACCATTGTCTGAAAGACATGCTTACCTGTACGCGGTAAAAGACAAATAAATTAAATGTAGTTACACTATTAGATTAATATATAATAAGTCAAAAAATGTCGTAGATTTAAACTTGAATTTGAAATAAAGTTAATCACTATCACATTTAGGATTTTTTTCAAGGAAACTTAGTCTGAGACAAATATGCTCCTGATCGGCCAACGTGATTGCCGATCACCATGATCGGGAAAGTTGAGAACGTTATTTCGAGCCCTGTACTACCAGTTTCAGGTTATACTGAATAAATACTTTTCAGAAACCTGTACATTTTGTACTTCATTCAAAAGACTAAATACACTTGGGGGCAGTTCAAAGCTGCAATTAGGTTAACCCTAGGTTAACTTAAAATTCAAAGCAAACTCCTTGACAGCTTGTCCATAAATTTGGAAATGTTTCTTCGGAAATCTTGTCTGGATCGATAGCAGTTTACTTCTCTGAAGTTTTGAAATAAACAGATGTGTAGAAATACACAAACTAAAACAGCAGGTTAAATTTTAACCCAGGGTTAGCACTATAACCCAGCTTTGAACGATCGGCCCCAGGAGTCTTAAGTTTGTACCAGTTCAAGTACGCGGGAATAATCATTGAAGTACCAGTCAGGTACGACTAAACATTTTGAATGATCGCACCCTGTTTTCAGGGAAGAAGCTTAGGTCATACTGCACCTCACTCTAGAGCTGTTCGTTGCATCAGATTTGTGTGTATTGTGCTGCTCAATTTTCATTTTTATTTCCTTAAAAAAATTGTTACAGAAGTAAATTTTAACTATAACGAATTCAGTTAAATCTTAAAATTAACGCGTGTTCAAGTTTGTCGAGCCATACCTTTACGTGTTTTGATATATAAAGATTTGTTAAAAGTTCTGATGCTGACGGCCTTTGGATAGGATCTTTGCTAAGCATGCTAAAACATAAAATGTCTAATGTGATATGATGTAATATATACGTAAAGGTTAACAGTTCAAAAATTGATAGAGTTGCAACTCTTCCTCTTAAAAGAGGATGAGATGATGCGGGTTGAGAAGCGACAGTTTGATGAGAGTTTTTTCAACTCCCGGAAATTTGAACCAATTCAAAGTGGATGAGAGTGGATAAAAGTGGATAAGAGTGGGTGAGAGTTGACGGTGGAACGAGAGCGAGTCGGAGCTCTTCTCAACTTTCGTCAACTGTCATTCTCATTTGACCAGAATTTAGTTATAGTGTTACCTATATACTCTATAGTTATGTACAATACATAGTTACGTTCTCACCCATTGAATATCTTTCGAAATTCAGGATGAAATTTTTCTGGTAATGCTGGTGTTTCACCTTCGACAATTTTGTACATAACACCTAACAGGTTCTGAAAATAACACAATAAAGGAAAAACACTTGGTTAAATCCGCCGAAATTAGAATAAAGTGGAAATAAGTATATAGATTATTGGAACATTGCTTGCTTACTGTATCGAAGAGTAAGGTATTAACTTGCACTGTACCTGTCCTTCAAACGCATGATCCAACGTACAAAGCTCATAAAGAACAACACCTAGGGCCCTGAGAAATATAAAATATCAATAACGACGAGCTAAGCTGAAGTTAACTATTCAGTATATTTACACTACTGTTCTTCTAAGAGGACCAGTTTAAGGGTTATCACATCCAGTATTCACCATGTTTTCTAGTGTTACGTACTACATGAGTATTAACGCTTGGATATCATTAGTGACTGCTATGTCCTAGGTAATGTTCTCTAAGACACAAAACTGATAGGCCATGCATAAGTCAACACAATGAGTGACTCAGACGCAATGCATGCATGAGAACAGTGGGATTTTACAGACAATGAAAGACAATGGAACATTCTGAAGCATAGCTGAATGGCACAGTTGTGATGTTCATTGATTGCAAAGATCTATTTCATACCAAATATCAGACTTGGAATTGTATCCTTCATGTTTCAATATTTCAGGACTCATGTAATAAGGAGTTCCTGTGAATGTCGTCGCCATATCAGATGTCCCCATGAGTATTCTTGAGATGCCAAAATCTCCAATTTTGATCATGTTGTTTTTCAAAAATATATTTCTAGATTCAAAAAATAGATATTTAGTATGAAGTATGATCACAAGGGGGCGTATCACAAAGAGGGGGCAATTAATAGAGAGGTGCAGTTGATAAATTTCTTCCCTTAAAAGAGAGGTTTATTAGAGAGAGGAGTCGGCTCATTTCAAGGGGGGGGGGGGCTTAAAGAGTTCAATGAAAGTTTATTAAATGTACAGTACCTTGTTTTTAAATCTCTATGAAGGATTTTTCTATAAAAAATTAATATGCCAAGCATTTAAAAGAGGGTCGGAAGTGACACTTTACTACTAGCATAAATTTTTTCCCCTTACTTACTTTTTATGAATAAATTGAATAGCTAACAACAATTGTACAAGCCACGCTACAATAAGAGATTCATCAAATGTTCGACCTGATTTTTTCCAGGCCTTTATTTTCTCTGTTAAATCACCTCCCTGAAAACACAATACACATTCCATAAGATCAATACTTAATTACATTTCAATATAATTCAGGCTGACTTAGATTAAGTAATTCTTTGATGACCATGTGGAAACTGACATGCAAGAAAATGGTTTTTAAACTACAGTTTAATCTGGTAAGTATCTAAAAGCATGCATGGGAACCAACAGTCACAGACCTGCCAACCTTAGCGACTGATATATGGGGAGAATTCTTATTTAAACACATAATTTGGAGGGGGAATTGGCTGTTTGGAGGGAGAAAACCCATCAAAGCCCTTTTCATTTGAGCAGTCAAATTAATGTCTCGTTCTGGAATTTTGCAGGTTGCCAGGAATTTTGCAGGTTGATAAATGCAAACTTAAAATATTACACCACTATAAATTATTCTAGTATAATTTAATTAATTGTGTACTTATTGCAGTCAGACTCCTTGTCAGCACTTTTAATATCAGCCTATACTGCTGCCATGTTCCTAGCCTCTGCTCTAAGGCTAGTGGCCATCACCCTTGTGAAAACATTCAAATGACTAGATTGGCTTGACTAGCTTCAGGGGGACGAATGTTTCGATTATTGCGAGGAGGCTACATGACGTGGTGACAGTTCACAAAATGGCTGAATGAGGTGTCTCTCCTCTGCACCCACTTATGAGAAGTCCACTCAAGCCCCCAATTACTGTATCATTACTCGAGAGTTAGTTAACTTTTAACAACATTTAACAACAGTATAAATGCCGCCACGTCATGTAGGCTCCTCGCAACGATCAAAACATTCGTCTCCCTGTAGGTCCAAGCCAATCTAGTCATTTTGAATGTTTTCACGGGGTGATAGCCACTAGCCTTAGAGCAGAGGCTAGGAACATGACAGCAGGATAGGCTGATATCAAAAGCGCCGACAAGGAGTCAGACTGCAATAAATACACAACTAAATTATACTAGAATACTTTATAGTGGTGTAATTTTAAGTTTGCATTATCAATCTGCAAAGTTCCTGGCAACCTGCAAAATTCCAACCTGCAAAATCCCCAACCTGCAAAATTCCAACATGCAAAATTCCCAACCTGCAAAATTCCAACCTGCAACCTGCATTTTGTACCTGCCATTTGGCAAGTCCAAAAATCTGATTCAATAAGCAAGGTACTAGCAGCATTCAGGGGTTAAACTGTTGATTGCAAACCTACCTCACAAAGTTCAGTCACAATACAATAGGACTCCATGTAAACAAAACTATCAAGGAACTTCACAATATTTGGATGGTCAAGCTACAAATTTAGCAAAAATTAATTACTCAGGCACACATGCAAAAAAGCAAAACAGGGCCAACTAATCATAGATATTGAAGCTGACCTTCGCCAATAAATTGGCTTCTCTTTGAGCATCAAATGTTTCATCCTCCTTCAATTCTCCAACAGAGATCTCTTTTAATACTTTCCTTCAAAGTTATAATTACAAAACAAGCAGTAAGCATGATGCCTTTAACTTTTAATCCATTAAGCTGTGCAATGCACCCAATTTAAGGCACCCTACTTTATTATTTTACTTTTATTATTACTTTACTGTCTAATGCCTGATGATTTTACTTATCATCACATTGAAGCCAAGAGAATGTTTTGTGTTCCTTAATTCTCTTGCTTTTATGCTCTACAGGGCTGTCAGAAGCAGGGGAGCACCAGGGGGAAAATTTCCTCATTGATGAATTTTCATGAAAATTTTTGATGGCACAAAATTTGGAAATACTATATATTCTGATTGGGTTAAGGCACTGCATACACACCATTTTTTGTTACAAAGCAAATCTAACTAAGATAAAAATCCCTAAATTTGGATATGGTTCTGAAATCGGAAGTCTCAGAACAAGGCCATGTTGCAGCAAAAATTGCCTCCAGTGTGTAACATGGCCTTTAAGAAATAACAATGTAGGGGGCTATGTGGGGCACATTTTCAGCTTAAGAGCCTGTTTATATTTTGACTTCTGCTACCCTCACACTGTCTAAGTATGTATCAGATTGGTTAAGGATCCTGCAATGGCAGCAATAGCAGAAGTCAAATCTGAACATTTGATCCTGGCTATATGCATGAATGTTTTCTTTGAACCAAATATGGGATGTTTTCATCCTACCTAGCTGGGACTTGCCTAGGTGAAATGGCTGGTTTATGTGGACATTGCCCAGATGAAGGTAATTTACCCCAGCAATAGAAAGATATGGGGAAAGGCAACTTCATCTCGCATATAGCAAGGATAGAGTGTTTATGTAGGAATTTCTCATCCCAGCTGGCCGGGATCCCAGTGCCAGATGTAGGGATCCCACCTAGGCGGGATCATATAGACATTATTTGTGATCGGAAATCCTCGGAGTATAGAACAAGAACTAAGCGAGACTGGTTATTCAAAACAAACATGCAAGAACTGTAACTTTTATATAGCATTTATAAAATCGTCAAAACTAATGTGTGAAGTGGTTGTTGTGTGAGCTATTCGCAACAAAAGTGGCGACCCCGGCAAGATTATTTTAAAGCAGAATTATTTGTGAAAAACAAGCATGCAAGAACTGTAACTTTTATATAGCATTTATAAAATCATCAAAACTAACATGTGAAGAGGTTGTTGTGTGAGCTATTGGCAACACTGGGTCTAGTCGCACAAATCCCATGTTGCCTCCAGAAATATGGCAGCACCATTTTAAATTAAATGTTTAA